GAAACTCCCTGTAGAGCTATCTTAAACAAATAAAAACTTCTTTTTTACAAAAATGGAGAATAGGAGGCAGAAAAGGTCCTGTCTCGGGGGATGGTACCAGTGTGGGAAGGGAGGATGTGGGGAGAGTGTGTAGCAGGATAAATATGGTACAAATATTGTATACATGTGCATGTAAATTGAAAAAATGAGACCTAGTAAACTAAAAATATCAAGTAATCATTAAATGTTAAGGGACACCCTCAAAAAATGTCTCTATAAAAAAAAGAAGGTGATGTAAAATTTGGCCCCACATTCCACTTGTGGAGTTCTCTTGGTGTAGCAGGAACTATTGGATGTCCACTCTATGACCATTCTCCTCCTTTTCTCTCTTGACACCAGAACCCCATGACCCTTGAGAAGGTCCTGCCCTATACAACCCTAGTAAGTGAATGTGGAGGGAGTGTAAGGAATGTAAGATACCAATTCCTTTTTCCTTGTGGGTCAATTGCTTTAGATACATGGTATGACAAAATTCTGGCCAACGTTGAAGGATAATTTTCAAAAAGATAAATAATAAATATAAAACTATAAAATGAACCTACATCAAAGATTTTATTTAACTCATTAATTAAAGAGAGAACTAGTTAAGGTGTAGACCTGAGTTCAAGTTTTGAAGACCTAGGGTAGTCACAGGGAGAAACAATGGCTGGGTTCACTATGAAACTGGTAATGCCCAATGAAGCCATAAACCATGATCACCATGGTTACTGTTCCACTAGATAGAAATGGTTTACACCTCTAATAGACAAAACATTCCAGTTTAGATGGTCCCCAACAACAGAAAGTTAAGTCCAACGCTACTCTGAAAGACTTCCTAATAATCTCTTTTACCCCCCCTTCCTAAACTTTGAGAAATTTTCCTGATACCAATGAAAAAGAGGAAAGGCTGTCAGAAGCGGATAGAGACAATTCCCCTATTCTTATAGCAGAAATAAAGGGGCAACATATACCCTTTCTCTTTTCTGGACTTGCTTATTGTTGTGTGAAAGGTGGTGCGTGGTAGCATTGCAGCCAAATGGGCAACTACAAGAAGACAAGGCTGACTATAAAAGCTACCACACAAGGCGGAAGAATAACAAGAAGGAAGGAACATGAACCCTGGAGATACTGCTAAGTTAAGCAACTCTAGAGCCACCCTCTGGAGATTTCTTGTAGGGCAAAATAGCACATTCTTAATCGATTAAGTTGCTTCTGCTACTTCCAGTGAAAGGCATCTTAGGTTGATTCACTTGGTTCCTACACTTGTCAATTCTAGAGCCAAGGAGACAAGGCCAGGTCTCTTTCTGCTCCATTGTACTCAGGGGTGGGGGTTAGAGTCCAAGGCTTTAGGATTTGGGATCCTGAGCTACAAAGCATACCAGGAGAGTAGGTACTATAACCTCAGAATAAGTAAAGCATCCAAGAGAAACTCACCTAGTGACAATTAGAGTAAAGCAAAAGATGTTACAAATAATAATGCATTATGAGCCTTCACACATTAACAATATACAATAAGTAAATCGACACTAAGTGCTTTACATAAAATAAGGCACACAATATGTTAGCAAGCAGTTTTTAGAAGTACGGGCTGGCACTACAGACCAGATACCAAGCTATTTGGCAAATGTTTTTAAATTGTAACTTTTTTTTTTTACTTTGTGTTTATAGTAAGCAAAAAAGTCTTGTCATATACTTGGCTGATACCCACTTGTTTAAAGTATGTAAAAACCAAATGCAAGACATAGCAGGTAACAAGCAATGCTAATGGTTTATATAAAAGCTCTTCCCAAAAGCGCACAGTAGTTCTCCAACTATTACCATATGTGCCCACACATTATCTACACATTGCTATACTTCATGATACCTGAGTGACCGCTGACAGTTTGTGGTCACATTCGTGCTAGCCCTTCTGTCTCTATTGTCCTCTGTCAGACCATTCTCCCCCAGCCTCCGGGCCTTTGCCAGGGGTGAAGAACAGTCTGCAGAGGCACAACCCACCCAAGGTCAGACTGTGGAGAAGGTATGGATGATTCAACCTCCATCTCCCCCAGCTCCTTTCCTTAAAGAGTTTCTGAAGTCTCAGCAACCTTTCCTGCAGGTCCATCCTTTATCTGGCAGGCTCTCAGGGTGGATCACAAACTCTTCTTGCCAAACGTGCTGGCTCAACCAATGACTCCTCTGACAGACCAGGCAGCCCGTTGCTAGTCTCTGCTGGGTGGCCCATCCTAGATTCTACAGCACTTACTTAACTTTCCTCACCTATATCAGGATGATGAGCCCACTGGGCTCTAAGTCAGCAGCTGGACCAGGTCCTCCTTATACTACTGACTGTGGCCAATACATCAAGAGAGTACCTAAAACTGGTATGGGAGTGGGAGGATTTTGTAAGCAATTGGCCACAGGACATACTCAAGAAATGGGAACCAGGAGAAAGTAAGAGTCTCTAGTAACACCCCAGACACCATGACTCCTCCCATGACTCCTCCTCCTCTGAGCTTTTCCATCTCTAAACCCGGGATAGGACACCTTCTTCCTCAATCTTATTTACTGACACAGATTCTACATAGGTCCCTTTCCTGGGAGCAACTACTTAAAACTGAGTACTTCATGCCACTTTTCAGGGGACTATTTTAGTTGGCTGGGGGACAAGTGGGTGCCTAGATGATGAGGAAGCCACCTTAGTGAAAGTGGCCCAGCCTGTTGTCTCCTCTACTGGGAAAGCAGCAAAATGAGCAAGGCCTCAAGACCACCTGCAGATGAGCTCACTGTGAGAGGCTGCTCTGTCCTTTTATCTTTAGAAACCCAGGCTAATGAACTCCCCACCTCTTCAACAGGAATGAGTTCTTTGTGCAACATTCTCAAGATAGCTTTTAGTGAACTGTGAATATTCTCAGATTTTAGCAGGAGTATTTATGTGTCTATGCCATATGCTATAGATTTAGAGTATTCAAAATATAAAAATAAACCAAATTAAAATAAGTTCAGCTTCAAAGAAGTGAGCAAAATTTTCATTTCTTCTGTAACCTCATTCCTCATAGTTTTTCCAGGGTTGACTTTATCTTATCTGCTACTATACTGTATCAGTAAGTGTTCTCCAGAGAAATAAAAACAATATATGATTTATCACTAAGAATTGGCTCATGAAATTATGGAGGCTAAGAAACCCACAATCTGCTGTCTGCAGGCTGGAGGCCCAGGAAGCTAATGATGCAATTCAGTCTCAGTCTGAAGACCAAAGAGGCAGGGGAGCCAGTGTGTAAATCCCTGACCAAGGTCAGAGAAAGACCAGATGAGCTATTCCAGCTGGAGCAGGGAAGCAGGAAAAAGGGCAAATTCCTTCTTCCCCTACATTTGTTCTACTCAGGCCCTTGGTAGATTGGATGATGTGCACTCACATTGAGGAGGGCAACCTGCTTTACTGAGTCCACCAATTCAAATGCCAATCTCACCTAGAGACACCCTCACAAACTCAACAAGAAGCACTGATTACTGCAGCCCCCCCCCACCATGTCCATTCATGTTAACAAAGAAAATTAACCATCACAGGCACTAAAATATTTTGCAGGCATTTGCAACAGAGGAGCCAAATTTAACCTTCTCACATGCATGGATTATTTCCAACTCATATGTAAGCAACCTACCCAAGTTGCAAACTATACTTTAATATATATTATATACCATGCAAGAAAAAAGCTGTAAAAATGCTGTAGAAATGAGAGTTAAGTTATAAACTCAAGTTCAAGATGTTGAGAAGCTAGGATGTTCACAGGGAGATACAATTGCTGGGTTCATTACGAAACTGGTTAACCTACCTGATGAAGCCATAAATCATGATCACCAGGGTTACCTATTCACTAGACAGAAATGATTTAGTTTTCTAATGGACATTATTTACATGTGTAATGTTTCTTCAATATTTAGTAAAAAAAAAAAAAAAAAAAGAAAAGAGAAGAAAGAAATACCATTATAACTATGCACATAGCAGTCTGACAGCAGCAGCTTTGGGTAGTTTGTTAAAAGACTGATATTCTTTCATCATTGTTTGACATCATGTCAAAGATTGTTTTGAGTTGCTAATGAATCAGTAGCTATCTGTATCATCAAGCATGTGTTTCAGAAGATACATGGCAAATTCAGGATAATCGGATTATTTTCATGCTATAAGAAACCACAGATAACACATTTAAGAAATCTGACATCTGTGAACAGCCTGATCTTGGTGTGCTCTATGAATTACCACTTTTGTTTAAGTACATTACCAGGTGTTATGCCCACTGCCTAGGTCAGAGTTACCGTAGATGCTTCAGAGTATCTACCTCGTCTGTGTATAGTCACCCTTTCAAATGTGTTAAAATCATTTTAACACATTTAAACATTTAAAACATCTTGATTTTGATTTATAGGAAAATCATGAAAGGGTTTAAAATCCATTGTTGGGGCAAAGATTATAAACAAGAATTATAGACAACTGAAATTCATAGAACATGAAATACCTTCTTTACAAGGTATTTCACATCAATACTGACTTTTTGCCTGAATACTTATCTCTCTGAGGCCAAGAATATCTTCCACATCAATTATTCAGCTCATCTTGGGATGTGAACCTGGCTATATATATAATGACATATTCAAGGTAACCAAGAACTCTTTTATTGTATACTAGCACACATAACTTAAGCCTACTTTAAGAAACAATAAACTCATGGCCTGCTAAAGGTCTATGTTCAATATAAGTTTCTGTCTTGTACACAAGGCCAATTAAAATTTCTAGAACAACAAAAAAAGTTATACAAGTAAATCGTCTGCAAGTAGTCATTCAACATTTTCATCAAAAAAATCGTATCATAAAAATTATAGATGTTTAACCATAGTCACTTACCTGTCAGACTTGTTTGCTTTCAAATCAATCAAAACAATTCACTTTTCAAGGTCAGACATGACTGCTGAAGATATACCCTGTCCTCAGAAACCAGCAAACATACCTCTCATGCATGTAGTCAACTCCCAGCAACAGCTGAATAAACCATTCTATTATCTGATTTTCTGGAAAGATTTTTCCAGCTTCCTTGTATTCCTGAATTTTATAGTCCAGATCTCGACCCTGAAACAAAATAGCATAATCTTTCATATTTTTTTCAGTTAAGATTTTAAAGTCAAGCTCACTTAACAGCAGTTAACACATTGCATCCACTGTTTGTAAGAAAGTGATGTTTACCACTGCACTGTAACTGCTATTGCCAAACTCTGCCCAGGCTCCTCTGCACCCTTTTCTCAACGAGGCCTCAGGCTTGACCTCTAAAGCCTTGGACACACACTAACATAGTTTCTAACAGCTCAAGGCCCCATCCCCAGGATGACCTGAGCCCTTCCTAGTTAGAGTGCCTGCCTGAGAAAGCTCAAGGCTGCTGCCAAGAGTTTCCTGCTTGTTCGACCAACACCTAAAGATGGGGCTTAGGTCTCCCTACCTCCATGGAAGAGTGCAAATCTAACTTTGATAAGCACCAGTCAGCCAGCCCACTGGGTTTCACATGGACAAACCTGCTTTTGTAGTATTTCACTTACCTGTTGAAGATATACCCTGTCCTCGGAACCCTGCTGCTTCCTCTTCCTCCTTCCCTCGCTCCCCACCCTTCCCAAACACAGGGTCACCTCCGCACAGATCAGAATGGAGCTCAGTTCTTAAACCTATTGTCCGTAGTTACAGAATAAAATCTGTTTCAGACTTCCTTTAACCAATGTCCAAGTATGTTTATCTTTGACATCACTCTAGGACAAATCCTTATAAAGGAGAAAAGTTACCACATACCTCCAAACCAAAGTTATTTTTATTACATTATCTAAAAATGTAGTTACATAAAACCAATAATGATTTTCCTAACACTTAGTAGTTTTATATACAGAAACCTGATGTGTAGACAAGTTAAAAATGTAAGCCAATAAAATTCAAATCAGTGATATCAATTGAAGGTACAGTGTTGACATTTTGGTGAAACTTACTTGGTGCTTCCATGGTGCATTCTGTACTGACTGCTATCGGATAGATTAGTTTTGAGTGTGGCATGTCCAGACTACCATGAGCCTTGGGGTGACTGATTTCACCTTTTCTCTATTGAACTACAGCAAAACCTTCAAGAATACAGCAACTGTTGACCTACATGTGGTCCCAAACATAACATTTCAGAATTCAGTCAGCCCCTGTCCTATCACTCACAGATGTTAGGTAAAATTAATAACAATCACAATTAGGGCCAAAAACTAAGCAGGGCACAGACTGCCTGGCAATCTCTGATATAAGACTCTTTCTGACTATGGCTATGTTAATGTTCTTAATTAGTGTATAAATGAAAACAATCTTACATTCTCCTGGAGAATGCTGAAAAATTGGAGACAACTTGAAAAATATTTTCTGAAGAAAAGGATGGGTTAAATGCAACTATGTTTGGTCTTTGCAGAATGTAAAACACAGGCCCATGGAGAGTGAGAGAGGTACCTGCCATGTCCCCAAGGAGCATGAGAGGAAAACATGAAACTACTTTTTGACTATTCATGGTAGAGTCCTCATTAGAGTCAAAGGAAAGGCACTTATAGGCAATGAGGCAATCCAAGAGCAATTACTGTAATCAAACAACATGAAGTCAACTGACTAACTCACTTGCAATGCATTTTTTTATTTCCTTTCAGTGCAATGTGCAAATATTTGCTTAGCATTTTCTCTTCTTCTACACAGAGACGTAACAAGTTAAAAGGACATCAAGCATTCACTTGCAGCCTAGCTGAAGCACAGTTTGATGCTGGATTTTCCAGGCCAGGGAGATCAAAGCTTCTTGGAATTCAAAAAATACAGTGAATTAAACATTTGACTCTTTAGTTAAAAAAAATTATTTCCTTCTCATTCTCCAAATCTGCCATATATCTGCTCACTTTCTAATCCTAATGTTTACCATAATTCTGTCTGATCAGGCAAATAATACTGTCTTATGTCTATAAGATGTACAAAACATTTTTGGTAATAAATCACTGTAATATCTGTGAAGCAGACACCAGAGCTCTTCTGATGAAGATGAGAGGTCAGACACACATACAGACACACACATGCTTTTTCAGTCCCAATTTTACTTTTCTATCCAAGAGGGCTTCTAGCAAAGCTTTCTCTCATATAAAAAAGAAAACAGAAAAAAAAATTAAGAAAAAACCAATTTTCAATATATTGTTCAGATTTTCTGAATGTGGCAAAACATCTCCAGTGGCAAAAAGATAGTATGTCACCATCTCCTTTCTGAAAAGCTTCAGATAAGGAGTGAGGAGGGAGAAGAGGGGGAAAGCGGGAGGGAGGGAGAATGAAAAATAAGAAGAAAAAAGCTCCTTGATATAAGAATATTGATTACTTTTGAGGTCATACATAAGTACAGTTGTCTCTATGAATATGGCTTTCACATGTATAATTGTGTCCCCTAATGATGAGAATACTCAAATTTGGAGAAATTTGTCTGTGCTTTAAAAATAGCATGGGGCTGGGGGTGGGGTGGCAGAAGGGGCTCAATACAGGAGTTTGGGCTCAGGGCCTCGCACTTGCCACATAGGCGCTCTACCACTGGAACCACTCTGTTCTCTTCAGCCCTAAAAAAAGGTATTTTGGAGACTGGGTCTTAGTATTCAGCCCTCCTATTTGTGCTTCACTTCTTAGTTGAGATGACAGATGCACACCACCACATCCAGCCACTAGTTTTGGCATTGGGGTCGGGGGGTCTCATGAACTAGCCCTCCCCCAATCCTCCTGATTTCCTATCAGAGGCTTGAGCCACCCACCGAATCTGGTATTAAAATAGATTCCAGGAATTTATTCCTGAACCACAATGCTGCCTTTCACTTCCTATTGTCATTTTCAATTGTGTTACTCAAAGAAATGTAAAATCTACCCTTTTCATCAGTCCACATTACATTCTTTGTGAGTGAGCAGAGTTAGGATTCCTATGAGTCACCTTGCCATATGAGGGCACACTGTCTGAGTGACATTTATGGTTCTGTCAATCATCTCTTCACACCGTCCCCCGGCCCGCCTCTCTAACCTGAGGTCTTGCACATGCTAGGCAAACACTACCACAGAGCTGCATCCCCTAGCCCCCAAGTCTCTTCTCCAATAGTGTGTAGAAGTTTTATGCCTGTTTCCTGAATTGATATTAAGTGCACAATTTCCTGTAACTACACAAATTCATCTTTAGACTACTGAGGTAAGAAAAAAAAACAAACAAGTACAGAGCCTTCAATTACCAGGCTCAAAGTGAAATGTTAAAATTATATACACAAGCTGCCCCTGGTCCTGCGGGTAGAACCAAAAGGAGAAATGTTATCAGTTCTTAGTATTAAGCAAGAGATTGTTCAGTCAACATGAAGATGAAACAGCCAAATGACTAAATTAATCAGAATGCTGGGTCTTGTACTTAAATGACTCCCCCTACAATTTTCATTTTATATATTTATCTGCAAGAAAAACTTGTTCTGCATTTGCTGTGCTCTTTAATAAATACTGTGGATTATTTTCTAAGGATTTAATTAAGGTAGACAAGTCACTCACCGATTAAGACATAAAAATTACAAAGAAAGAAATATTATTTTGTGAAACAGCAATATGAAAAGCATTTATTACTTTCTTTCTCTAAACTGTCTTCAAGTAAGAACCAAATGTTTTTGAGGAAATGTCACATCTCAGCTTAAGTGCTTATTATAGTCTCCGTAAGTTCGTTTTGTTTTCTTCACTTTGTCTTTGGAGAATATTTAATGGTTATTTTTATTGCTGTAATAACTTTAATGAAAAGAATACAGACATGATTTGAACCAATATTAATCTTGCCCTCATTCTATACTGCTGTTAAAATGCCTTCCTTCACTGATGTCACCCCTCAATGCCAATGAAAGTCTTGATGTTAACTTCTAAGGTTTCAAGTATCTGTAGCCCATACTACTATGTGGCAGGTTAGTAGAATTGCCTCAAGCCCCTATCCCAATTAACCAACATCAGAGAGCTTCGAAATACCAAGACTTTGAAGAAATAAAGAATGACTCAACTACAGTGTTCTAAACACCATCTTTGTTACCATTAAAAAGTTAAATCCTAAAAGGATTTGATTCTTAAAAAATTAATCCATTTTTAAAGCTGGCAATAGAAGTACTTACAATCAGTTTAAAAGACCAAAGTAAAGGATTCTCAGAAGCAGCCCAAATACAGATCTGAAATGTTAAAAGGATATTCAAAAGACAAGTGATCTCTGTATTTTAAGGCTGAAAGAAGCATGGAAAATCATCCTGCCCTACTCTTCACTTTAAAATTAAAAAGAAGCCCCTTATTAATTCACTGGACTGATATCTCAAAATGCTGTGCCCTTGCCCTACCATGTCTCTGTGAAATAAACACCCTCCCAATGGACGCCAAATTTTAGCATGGGTCAGAATCATTGAAGTTGATTGTTTAAAAAGCATATTCTGATGCAGTGGATTTGGATACAGCCATATGTATTTCCAGCAAGCATCCTAAACAACTCTGGAGGTGACCCATGACCACACTTTGAGAAACAATACTAGACAATAACATAAATGGGCTATCCACTTAATATTTAGCCCATCAATGGAAATATTTTGTCTAATAGTTCAAACAATTCTAAAGGCAAAAGTTGTATCTGGGAAAATCACAGTTGAATAAGAATCATTTTATAATGACATTATTTCTAAAAGCCTGTGACTTTACTAAGAAGAATACCAATAAATGGAGGTGTAAGGGGCAGGGGAAGAGATCCTTCATCACTGTATTATAGGACATAAGACATTTTGCTAGAATTTTGGAAGCTCACTGCAGTACATTACGTAAAAACTGAGGAGCTAGCAGGGTGGTTCAAGTGGTAAGAGTGCCGATTTAGCAGGCATGAGGCCCTGAGTTCAAACTCCAGTACTACCAAAAAATTTTTTAAAGTAGTTGACTTAAAAAAGTGAGGAAATATCAAGCCACATTATATTCTTTAAAACAAAGTAAAAAATCTAGTTTTTAAGTAGTTACTGAAGAATGCCCTGCAGTATCATGACCTGTTTGTTTGTAATACAAATGATCATCCC